TTAGTTATAAAATGTAATATAAAATAATTAAATATTAAATATTATATATATATATATATATATATATATATATATATATATATATATATATATATATATATATATAGGCCAGGCCCGCAGGCTCGTAGGCCAGGCTTTTGTATATAGGCCTGGGCCTATTTAACTAAATAGGCTATTTAATAGGTCTAGGCCTGGCCTTTTAACTAAACAGGCCAGGCCAGGCCATAGGCCCCTGTGTAGGGGCCTGGCCTATTCCCACCCCTACATTCAAGAATGCTCGCCACATTCAGAATGGTTAAAGATGTCTACAATGGTGTATATGCAATGAACACAAACAGACTGCAAACTTAAAATGGAGTCTAACATCCTAATTGACAACTAACATACTGAAAATTGGTCGGCACAAAATGGAGTGAACAACAAAATAGAAATATATTATTTGAGTAAATGAAAGTTCAGGAACATCCACAAAGTAAACTCACCAATTTCCTTGCTGTGAATACATGTTATCTCCATTATTAATTTTTTCATTGGCAAATTCTTCAAGTATTGCTTGTTGTTTATCATTTAATTCTCTAGAAACAAGTTAAAACAATAATATAGAAAAAGCATTTAACATTGTCTGCAGCATGCATCTCAAAAGACTTCCGAAAAAAAAATAAAAATCATGAGATTTACATAGAACATATGATTATTATTAAAAAAAAAAAAACAACAAAACAAAACAAACACCAACAACACATGTATAAGAGAATTACGTTGGAAATCTTATGCAATAGAAAAGCTATATACATAATTCAATATACCAGGTAGCTGATCTAACTGCAAATTTAACTTTAATGTTTTTTTCTTAATCAAAATGCTAAGTTAAATTTAACAAATCAAAATGCTAAGCAAGTCGAATCTTAATCAAACACAGGTAATTAACGAACACAAGTTCAATATACCAGGTAGCTGATCTAACTGCAATAAGAGGGAGTATTATATATTTCTTGATATCTAAACCTACAAATCCATCTATATCTAATCAGAAATGTCAAAGCAAAAATGCAGGAAAAAAAATGCAGTTGAAATAAAATTTCTAAGCCCAAACCCTAGACAGAGACTAAAACTGTGATACCTTTTGGTTGAGGATGACGATGTGTGACTCCGTAGCTTTGCTTGAAGATGGCGATGACTCCGTAGCATTAGCTTGAGGTGCGACGGGGATGAAGCTGAGAGAACATTTGTTGGCCGGTGTCGCCGTATCGTCAAGGAGATCGTCAATTTATTTATTGGAGGCCGTTGTCGCCGTGTCGTCAATTTATTTATTAGAGATTTGCTGTATATTACGACTAATTATTAAATAGAATAAATGATTTAATTTTTTATGTCAAAGGAATATTAAAATTTACATTAACTTTAAATTCTGTATTAAATTATTAACTTTAAAATATTTGGTTATAGTTTTAGTATGACAAATCTATGTATTTAGGAGGTTGCAGCAGAATATAGTGACAAACTTATTAGTGGACATTAGGGCTTCCAAATATAATCTGACTGAAACTCGTCAAAGTTAACCAATTAAAAAAAAAAATGGTCATAACATTTTCAATCACCTTTTTAGTGGTTTGCCTTTCCGACCACCATTTAAAAGTGGTCGTTAATATTGTCCACATTTCAACCACTTAATAGGGTGGTCAATAATTTAGAAAAAAAAAAATTAATTTACCGTCCACTTTTCCTGATGGTCGGAAAAGTGGACGGAAAATGTTATTTTTCCAGCAATGAATGTTATGCCCTTAACTGGAACAAAAAAATATCGGAACAAAAAAATATCGGTAGTATTGTTTCTTAAATTGAATGGTTCATATTATTTTAATTTTAGTATTTTTTAAATAATTTTCCTTATTTACCCTCTATTATATTATTTTCTTCCCTTAAATAACCTAAATTCCGTTAGTATAAACTTTAGTAACGGAATATTCCGTTAATTATTTATTATTTTTAACTTACTCATTAATTTCTATAAGAAATGTCTTAGGTTCGAATTCCATCTCAATTAAAGTTGGCATAATTGTTAAATATATACTATGAATATGTTAAAAAATATTAAAAAATATATAATATAAAATTTAACATAAACTTTGGTCAAATAATTAGTCCAACTAAATACATAACATTCACAGTTAAAAGCATCAAAGAGTATAATAACTTTTAAAATCATTTGATTTTTATGCATTAAAAAAAAAAAACTAAATTTAGGTTAAGTTTTTATTTTCGTTTAATTAATCTTTTTTTTATTATTTAGATCAGAACAAAACTTAATATTTCAATTATACTTTTGCATTATTGGTATGATTTAGGTCGTTATGGTATTAATATTTTTTGTATGTATTTTTATAATGGTACAATTGTACATTACTTTACAAATATTATACTATTAATTTTTTTATCGGACAAAATTGTTCTTACATCATTGTCAGACTTGTGCAACCTAACTACAAAGTTGTTGATCATAAATACAATTTCACCTAGACTCTAAAACGGTAGGACCATTTTTCAAAGAATTTGACAATGTTGACATCCCATTGGGTCCAATCGAAAAAATGTACACATCAGAATTTTATCAACGCATGAAAACATCTAAAGAAATTTGTAAGTTAATTTGTACTATATCATTATAACAATATCTATTGTAACTATATATTTTGAATTATTTATAATCATCATCTAATGACAAGAATTGTAACAATTGTCGTTGACAAACTCCCAAAACAATTTGTACCAACAAAGAATGTAATCTAAAAAAAAAAAAAAATGATTGCAGTAGCTAAAAATCAATTTTTTTTTTTCAGTAGCTTTCAAAAAAAAAAACAAAATCAATGATTTCATTATTGTTGATGAAAAATATGTACACCACTTTATTACTCTTATTTAATTAAATAAATTTGTAGCTACAACAAAAAATAATACATATGCATTTAATTAATTTAGAATTAGATGTCTATAATGCCTTTATTTAAAAAAAAATTATTCATTATAAAAAATTTAAAAGAGATATAATTTCATTAGTTATATTATCTTTATTTTCTACAATTCAAAGATTCATTACCTTCAAATTTATTAATTTATTATATTCACTACATTGTCCATTGTCTTATCTTTTACATTATCTTGTAATTAAATATCTAAATTATAATACAAAATATGTTATATATATTTATTTACCAAGTATTTTATACAAATATAATAAATATTAATATTTTGTTTAATACTTTCACATGCATGATAACCTACGACACACATCTCACAACGCATGAAACATGTAGGGGAAAAAACTACCACTACCAAATATCAATAGATGCTTGTGTAAACACAAAAAATATCAAAATTGTATATATTCACAAAATTCTATGTACAGCGTGTGTATAATTCAAGGTGCCGGTACAAGTCACTGTGTAGTCCTCTGATTCTTCACTATTGTTATCTATTGAAGTGCCTCCGGGATTCAAATAGCGTAGCCTCCGGGATTCAAGTGGCGCGTGCCTCCAGAATTCAAATGGCGTAGCTTCCGGGATTCAATTGGCGTGATCTTCAATAGCAAATGTCAAGCTTCGAAGCAATCAACTCTACAAAACATCAAATTAAAGCTCCTGCAATGGCTTCAAGTTGCCTTAAAGATCCTCAAATGCCTTCAAAAGACTTCAAGATCTTCTATCCAATCAATTCTGCAAAGCTCCAAAGTACCTGCAATGGATTCAAATTGCCTGCGAAATCAACAAAAATTCCTTCAAGTCTTCAAGCTTTCTTCAATGCCTTCAAGCTCTTCAAATGCTCTAGTTGTTCTTCAAATGCTCTCAACTCCTCAAGTCTTCAAGTTGTCAAGCGTCGTTCTTCAATGCCTTCAAGCTCTCAAGTCTTCAAGTTGTTTTCAATGTATTTGAGGTGTGATTTAAAGAATGAAATTGAGGCTCTATTTATAGTGAAGTTTGTAACTAAAATCCCTCAACAAACTCCACTAATATTTATTAAATTAAATTAATTAATTTATCTACTAAAATGAACCTTGCCAAAATCAAGTCTAGGTTCATTATTCTATCATCTAATTCAAATTCAAATTAAATTATAATTATCTAATTCAAATATAATAAAATCATATTATATTTAAATTATAATTATAATTCACTTATGAAATGGGCTTGGACCAATTAATTAATTAATTAATTCAATAGCCCAAATCAAATTTACTTGGACTAATTAAATTAATTTAATCATTATAGTCCAATTAATTAAATTGGACTAATGATCAACCCTGAAATTGGGCTTGATAATGATTTAATCGGTCCACTTGTCGGCTTCATATTTTCTGTGTCTACAAATTGCCCCCTCGAGACTTTCTTGGACATGCCACTTGAGAGCATACACTGCTTGAAAGTATGTAGTGCATGGAAGTCTTGAAACTATAAGGTCATTTCAACTCGTGCCAAGGAGCCTTGTGGGATATGAGGCAGTTTCGACTCGTGCCGGGGAGCCTTGAAGTAATATGAGGCAGTTTTGACTCGTGTCGGGGTGTCTTTAAGGAATATGAGGCAGTTTTGACTCGTGCCGGGAGCCTTGAAGTAATATGATGTGTTTTCAATTCACATTGAGGAAGCTTGAAGAATATTTCCTCTATCACATATTGTGGTATAATGTGTTGAGGCACATTCTTCTCTAGCATATGGGTTGATCAGAGGAATTTTCATCTTCATTCCTTGGTTAGTTGGAGTAATATGGAACCACTTCGGCACGTAATCTGCCAATGTGACTGGAACTCGTGCTTTCATATGGTGGCTGCAAGTCCTCCCATCAGTAGGGCCCTGTAACATTCTCTTCTTAACCCACCTTTTCATAACTTGCTTAGATGGTCGTGCCGCATCATCAACATGGTGTTGTTTAGCATGCTTAATACCATGTCGAGTATCATACTCGGGTTTGGTATCATAAGACTTGATGTTAAGAGGGAATAGACACTTGTGTCATTTTCTATTTCCCTTCACATTGTTCCTCTCAATGAGTAGCGAAGTAGATTTACCGCATGAGATGGAAACTTGATTAGCGCTTGCCATGGCATCTGCAAGTTCAATTCTCCCATCTCGAGCTAACTCCATTACTTTATCCTTAAAGACAAAGCAATTTTTAATTGGATGTCCGACAAGTCTATGATACTTACAATAACTCGGATCATCCACCATTGATGCCTCGTGTGGTCGCCTCATTTCTGGCAAATCAACGAGATTGTACCTTAATAGCTCATCAAACATATGTGGGACATCAGAATCCAAGAATGGGCACTTCTTGTTTTGTCTTTCCCTGAAAGAAAGCCTTTTACTACCATGTAATAATCTAGAAGCATCCTTAGACTCACCAGTAGCTTCAGTGAATATCCTAGTTGGTTGAATATTCACATGCATAGCATCCATGCTTTCATATTTCTTAAAGGCTTTGCCACCATTTTCAACGTCATCATGACTCTTGCCCCCATTGTAGAAGCTTTGAATGTGTATGTTTTGTCTACCATTAGCTGTTATGCTTAACTCCATATCGTGGGCGCGACTAGATAATTCCTCAAAACTCTTATGTTTGAGCCCTTGGAGGATGTAGGAGAGCTCGAAGTGCATGCCTTGGATGCACATTTCAATCGCAGAACTCTGTGATATCTTTTCCTTGCAATTCAAGCATAACTCCCTCCATCTTTCAATGTAAGCAGACAAGCTTTCACCATTTCTTTGACGAGTGGTAGTGAGTTCTAAGAAGCTAACGGTTCTTCTTGTGCTGTAGAAGCGAGTCAAGAACTCGCGCTCCATGTCATGCCAGCTATCAATGCAGCTAGGCTCCAAGTCAGTGTACCAATTGAAGGCAGTACCCTTCAAAAAGCGGACGAACTGCTTGACAAGAAGATCTCCATATGTCCCAGCGTCGTTGCATGTTTCCATGAAGTGGGCGGTGTGTTGTCTTGGATTGCCTTTCCCATCGAATTGTTGAAATGCTGGAGGTTGATATCCAATGGGCATCTTCAAATCCTCTATCCTTTGGGTGTAAGGCTTGGTGTAAGTGTATGAAGGTTTTTCCCCCTCGAGCTTTCCTTTAATAGCTCCAATGATGAACTCGTTAAGCCGATCTACAGGTATCATGCCCCCTGTGACTGGAATGTTCCTGTCCGAACTTGGTATGTGTGAAGTTGATTCCTCGTGCACTGCAGTTCGCCCAATGTAAGTTGGTGAGTGCGAGGCATCTTTCCTTGAACCTCAGGTTGTTTCCCAGGAGCCCGGCTAGTTTCGCCATTCCTTGTGCTCTCGACCTTTTCAGCTAAGTCGTTGATTCTCTTTTCTTGGTTTTGAAGGAGGGTAGTGATCCCTTCAAGCGCCTTAGTGATGCTTGCAAGCTGGTCCTCTATAGTTGTCGCGCTTGTTGTCATAGCCGGCATGCCTGTATATATGCGTGACCATTCTGGCGCGACCTTCCACATGTTGGACGACGGCGATGTCGGTGATGAGCCTCCGATGTTAGCGTTTCCTTTTGGGGATGTTGGGCTCCTACTATCATCAACTCCTTTCAAAGATGTTGGATTCCCGTTATCGGCTGCTTCTTTCGGAGATGTTAGACTCTCGCTACCAGCTGCTCCTTTTGGGGTAGTCGACTTCTCACTATTAGCCGCTCTTTCTGAGGTAGATGACTTCTTGCTATTCGCCGCTTCTTTCGGAGATGTCAGCATCCCGCTGCCAGCTGCTCCTTTCGAAGAAGCCAGCCTCCCGCTATCGGCTGCTCCTTTCGAAGATGATGGACCTGCAACATAGATAGACTTCCTCGGGACGGAAGGGGCCGTTTCGAGTCCTTGAATCATGCGTCGAACAATTGACTCAGGCTCTGGCGGTCGCATTCCTAAGCTCCTTGCACGGCTCCTGATTAATGGTGTTTCGATCTCTCGGCTAGCTTCAGAACCAATTGTTGATGAAGACTTGGAACTAGCGGCTTGGGCATAAGACTTCTTGAACATCGAGCTTCTTGACGCCATTCCGGTTGCTAGTAGAGTTGCTTGCTGATGTAGATCGATAGTGAAGAGATGAGAGGCAGAGTGGTCCCACTGGGCGTGCCAAAATCTGTAAACACAAAAAAGTAAACTTTGTATATATTCACAAAATTTTGTGTACAGTGTACGTATAATTTAATATGCAGGTACAAAATCTCTGTCTAGTCCTCTGGTTCTTCACTGACGTTATCTATGGGAGTGCCTCCGGGATTCAAATAGCGTAGCCTCCGGGATTTAAGTGGCGCGCGCCTCCGGGATTTAAGTGGCGTAGCTTCTGGGATTTAAGTGGCGTGACTTCCAACAACGAGCGTCAAGAATTTAGAAGTAATCAACCCTGCAAAGTTTCAAAACACATGCAATGGATTCAAGCTGCTTTAAGATCCTCAAATGCCTTCAAAAGACTTCAAGATCTTCGAGACAATCAATTCTGCAAAGCTCCAAAGTACCTGCAATGGATTCAAATTGCCTGCAAAATCAACAAAAATGCCTTCAAATCTTCAAGCGTTCTTCAATGCCTTCAAGCTCTTCAAATGCTCTCAACTCCTTAAGTCCTCAAGTTGTTCAATGCCTTCAAGCTCTCAAGCCTTCAAGTTCTTCAAGCTTTCAAGTGTGTTTTGGAATGAAAACGAAGGCCCTATTTATACTAAAAGCTTAACCAAAATTCCTCAACCAACCCCCCTTTTTAGTTAACTAATTAATTAATTAATTAATTAATTAGGAAAATGAACCTTGTCCAAGATCAAGTCCAGGTTCATTATTGTATAATCTAATTCAAATTCAAATTAAATTATAATTATCTAATTCAAATATAATAAAATTATATTATATTTAAATTATAATTATAATTCAAATTCAAATATGAAGTGGGTTTGGGCCAATTAATTAATCAATTCAATAGTCCAAAATCAAATTTAATTGGACTCATTAAATTAATTTAATTATTATGGCCCAATTAATTAAATTGGTCCAATAATCAATTTCAACACTGGCCCAATAATAATTTTGTCCCTCCATTTGTCGGGTTCAAATTTTCTATGTTTACAAATTGCCCCCTCGAGACTCGTCGGGACATGCTGCTTGATGTACTTGGAGCGAAGAAGTCTCGAAACTCAATCAAATGATCCTTCAATTTCATCAAGGTGCATTTTAATTTCATAGGCCCAAAACACATGCATAACATTCATTTAGCCCAAAATTATTTTAAGATGCAATTGGTCATAGTGCAATTCCATGAGCCCAGAGCCCAAAGGTATGAAGATTCTGTCATGTTGAATATTGAGCTTATACAACATTCATTGACCCATTTAAAAGTTCCAAGCCCATCACCTCTTCAACACTGATGAGTGATGCCCATTCAAAACTATGACTGAATTAGTCTCAAAATTCTCTCATGCGGGACTCCCGTAGCATACGAATCCCACCACCAGAAGGAAGCTTGTTTTTAGCGACAAAACTGTTTCTCGTTGCGGAAGTTTTATCTTAATCCTATTGGGATTTCAGACTCCAACTCCATCTCCAGTTCCTTCGCCATGCACTATAAATACATACATAAACTTACTAATCCCACAAACACAGAGAAACTGAGGAAGAGGAGATGAGCTAACAACCGGAAACACAGAGAAACTGAGGAAGAGGAGATGAGCTAACAACCGGAACTCTGCCCTTCAATAAGGTAACTTCCATTCTTATTCTCCTTTTTCCTTTATGCATAGCCTTTTATATGCAGGAATGACAACACATACACGTACGGCTGCAATACAAAAACGAGAAGGAAAGGAGCAACTTTAAACGCTAGCAGTAACCCACCAACTGCTTCAAGGATTTTATTTTTTTGTGTTTTGCCACCTGTCTGTCGCAGTTTTCATCTGTTGATGCTCGCCGGAATTGTCCGCCGGAGTCTACGTCGTTGATGCTACTAGGAGCATAGGGCTTCTTGCCAATCTCGTGGAACAACGAGCAACGTGAAATCTGTTCGCCGGAGGCCGCCGCTATTGGAAGTTCTCGCCCAACTTTGACGCTGCTCAGCCTTGTGGATCGCGGACTGTCGGCTGGTGCTACTAGAGAATTATCGCTGACAGTGTTGGACTGCACCACCCCTCGCCAGATTTTTTTTTTTTTTTGCAGAAGTCACCGGACATCACCAGGTTGTTGAGTCGCTGCATTCGCCAGAGTTACCAAACTGCCCGCCGGAGTATACCTTTGTTGCCGTAGGATTGCATCTCAAAAGCTCTGTTTCCCCACCGTTTCCGTCGCAGAAGGCCAACCGGTGAGCTGGAGTTCCGTCGATGCCTCCACCGAAGTTCTTCGCAGAAGCCGCCAGTTGCCAGAGCTTTCTACCGCATCGCAAATCGTCGAGGTTGCCGGCTGCTGCGTAGTGTTTTTGCATTTGCTCGTCTTTGTTTCTTTACTGCTTGCAGGTCGATGCTGCTAAGCCTTTGCCGGAGTTCTCGCTGGTGCTGCCTGTAAGTATTTTCCCTAAATACAATATATTATAATATATTGTATTATTGGGTGGTTGTGGTGCAAGTAGGAGATTGAGTCAATTAGTGACTTAATCTGTTATGCAACTTAGGATATTCAGTTAAGCTTTAACTGAATATCTGCCTATGTTGATGGCATGTAGGCTACTAAGCAAAATAGTCCTCCCACAGCTCCCGTGTTCAGGACACGTACCATCACGTATTCGGGAGAGAAGTGGTAGACAAAACGACACTAACCTTTATTCTGCAGGTTTACCATCTCGTGGCAATACCAACGACTATGGCTGGGGATATCCGGGCGATCCTAAAGCTTCCGCTGTAACGAGGCAGGTTACTCGTTTACTACCGTTAATGTTAGTCTTAATATTATTATCTAACATTTGGTTTCAGAGCCCTAAAAATCTCTGCCGGGTTGTTTGTATTGCTGAATACAAAATCTATTTTTTTTTTTCGAAAACTAATATCATATACATTAATTTTGTATATGTTGTTTTTCGAAATTTGGTTCTGCTTGGAATTTAATTTTCAGCATTAAGCATGTTTTTTTTAATTTCCTTTGAATTATGAAATTAATTATATCCTGAGTCTTTTTAGACTAACCACTGCCTATTTTGTTTTGGCCAAGAAAAATGGAAGCCTACGCACTGGTTTCAAATGCAACTTGCCTGTGCTTCGTTTTCTAGGCAATGGCAATTAGTTTTCTGTTTCAGTGTTCAAAGCGGGCGACGGCGTGGCTGTCGACGGTGGCGCTGGTTTTCCGGCTACATTGGAACGCTGGATGGTGCGCTGTTGGAAGAAGACGGACGGCTCGATCGCGGCTCGTCGCTGCCCCTCCGGAGAGCACGCTGTCGCTTCTTCCCTGCTTTATCGGCGGTGGAGATGGTTTTCTGGCCATCTCTGTTTTCTCTCCTTCAGTGACGCTGGTTCCGAACGCTGCACCTCAAGCTTCGGGCGGTGTCTTCCGAGCGTGATCAACGGAACAGAGTTGCGGTGTCTTTCGAAATTGCTCTGCACTGCTTCTTCGCTGGTTTTCGACGATTCAGGGAGGAAGACAAGGAGTGTTACGGTACGTCTCTATTTAAGTAGCAATTTTATTTTATTTGCCATATATTTATTTGCCTTATTTAGTTTTATACATATTAATTTTGGCATGGTAATATATTAGGATTAATATTATCATATTAATTTGACCTTAATTAATATTGTATATTTTGGCAAATGGTAAATATTAGTAATTGCTTAATTTTGAAATAATAATGCCATTTAGTTATTCTTTAATTTTGGCATTAAAATTTTCAAATTTGAGTTCAGATTAATTGTGACATTATTTGTGATTGAATTGTTGTCGCTATTAGTTCAATTACAGTAATTCATGTTACAATTAAGTTATCATTCATTTTTGGGCAAATATGAAGTTTTGATTTGCTATTTGAATTTTAATTTAATATTGAGAGTTATATTAATGCCCTTTAGTTTTCTTTTAATTTTGGCATTAAATTCACAATTAAATTATTATTCAATATTGAGCAAATATTAATTATTAAATTTGCTACTTGAATTTTAATTTAATATTTGATGGTTTTATTGGGACCGGGTCCACCATAAACCGGGTATAGGAACATAG